GTAATAAAAAAAAAAAAAAATTGATGACCCAATTTGGTTTGATTTCAATTTTTCAAATCTGGGTTTGATGTGAAACAAATTGATAACCCAATTTGTTTTTGTTTGATTTCAAACAAAATAGAACATAGGGAAATTAGAATCTGTTGGATCTGTTGAAGTTTTTTGACTAACAGCTTCTTGGAGCTTCTTCTTCACCCCATCATCTGTCTTTCCTTGTTTCTCTCACTCTTTCTTACCTTCATTGTTGAATGATTGAAACAAAGGGAAATTTGATTATTATTATTTTTTTAATTTACTCACCAAAACGACGTCTCGTTTTGGTGAGATTTTAATCTTAACACTTGGTTCTTCTAGTGAGACAGGTGTCACATTCTGCTTAATTCACTTCACCAGATCATTGTAGCGAGACACTCTAGGGGATCAACATTTCTCATTAATTGAAAATAAGTCATAGTAAAATCGTCACTAAAAATAATTTTTGTGACCATTTTTTCAATATGTTGCAAAAATTGACAGTTAGTGACATTTTTCTATGATGAATTTTTCAAACTGTCACTGAAAGTTAAAAATTAGTGACTTTTTTTTGTAATTATTTTTTTTAAACTCACTGCTGGAAATCAGGGTTTTAGAGGCGTTTGAAAAACGCCGCTATAAGTCTTAAAAACGCCGTCAAATCTTTTTGTGGCGTTTAGCACTAAACGTCGAAGATGCGGCCGTCACTATAACTCTATGGCACTTTAAAAAAGTCACTATATTACTATAGGCGGCGTTTTTATAAAACGCCGCTAAAAGTTCTACTAATTGTAACATGACGTCACCATGCTATTTAGCGACGTTTTTAAAAACGCCACCACATCTCTTTTTCCCAACTATTTAACGACGTTTTTAAAAACGCCGTGATAGCCCTTTCTTTAAAAAAAAAATTGTGCTAATTTTTTTTAAAAAATACCTATAATAAAACTAAAATAGTACTAATATAAAATAATAACCCCATTCATATAGTAAAATCTTATAAAATGATAGTCCACAATCATTGTGCAAAAACAAAACATTCACATAAATCAAACGGTGTATGTTACACAAAAATATTTCATATTTCTCGCACCCTAGAAATCTTCATATGGTCATTGGAGAGTTACTGAGTTAAGAATAAGTCATCAATGCAAATAAACTCTCTATTTCAAATACAAGAACCAACAAAAAAAATTAAAAAATTAAAAAATGTCATAACAACTGATAGTATATTAGTCCTCGGACTACCAGGTCACCAGCTAAAGTAGCAAACACCAGACTTTCTTGTCCATCAGCATTCTTCTTTAGATCTGCTAATCTGACGGCGCTAACAAAAGCAATCTTGCATACCACCACCACATTTTGGATCAGGAGAACCACCAGGGACAAACTGCATTACGCACAAAATGTTAGAATTGTAGAATACAAAATCAATAGGACTCAGCTTCTCAAACAAAATCAATAGCACACAGACACCATGCAAAAGAAATTTAGGATTCAAACGACTATTTTGGCAAAAAATCATTACAAGATCTTGAACTTCCATCACAACATAAAAGCAGAATCATAGTACCTATGAATCTTGCTGAAATAAGAAGTTGGTTTGCTCCATCCCACTAATCTAGAGAACTTCAAGGAAATCAATATTTCAGCATGTATAGAAAACCGTTAGCAGTAATAAAACATTATCGTACTAAATAATCCAACCCAACAGCATGTTTCTTGGCAGATTTAAATGCATAACCAAAACAGAAGTAAACCTTCTGTAGGAAGATTTGCATGCCTATTGGCAGATTGAAAACCTATACTGGACCCAAGCCAGAAGCTGTTTGGATGTGTTCTTTAGCAGAAGGTTCATCCTGAGGTTTCTTGGCCGGAAAGAGTAGAACTTCCTGTCCCCAAACAAAAAAACAAAACAATTGACACTTGAGTAAAAAAGCTCAGTCGAAAAAACTTTCTATTGTAGAATGTGAAACTTCCCACGTCCAGCCAAACACACCCAACCCCAACCCCACCAAACCAACACTACCAATAATTAAACAAATGAAAAATCACCAGCAAGGAAATCCAAAACCACAAACTGATAACACATGAACATTTCACACAAACCACACAAAACGTAAAACACAAACCTTGATGTTCTGCGAATCTGTTCATCATCATTGTTAGTCGGTCAATACCCAGTCCCCAACCACCAGTTGGGGAAAACCATACTCGAGAGCTGTGCAAAATGTTTCATCCAAAGCCATTGCTTCATCATCACCTGATTGTCGGTCCTGAAATTTATCATACAAAAATCTTTCAGTCAAAGGCGGCACCCACACAACAGTGACTTTACATCCACATATGATCAATTCCTAATGAATCATAATACCTGATGTTGGCTCAGCAAACCGTTGGCGTTGTACCACAGGATCATTCAACTCCGTGTATGCATTGCAAAACCATACGTACAAACATAGTTGGCATGCAAAAGAAATTAGTAATATAAGTATAATATTACATATCCTTAAAAATCACTATTTTAAAAAAAATTAACAATAATAAAGAATCTAAATAAAATCCTTAGCTGCTATACTACTTCACGCTTGTTAAACAAAAATTCAAAAGTTCAGTCTCGCAAATTCCATGCTCTGTATTCTGATGATCGAAAGTCAATCGTAGATTCTACTAATTTAATATCAATATCGAGACACAAATGAGTAGAAATGAAAAATAAATCGCTCATCCGCCAAATACACTTCTGCTACTCCCTCTGAACTCTCCTGCAGAATGCATTTTGAAATGAAAGTGCTACTACAATCGAAGTAAACATAGGAACAAACAGACCTAAAAAAATCACAAATATGGCTGGCTAATTGAAAGAGAACAATGGGCTGAAGCAACCAACAACCAATTTAAAACTTAGAGGGCTGACTTTAATAAAATAATAATAATGGTATCAATAAAATATCAAAAAAAAGGACATGGGATTATAAATTTGATTTATTAGAACAAATGTACCCCAAGTGAAAAGACTCCTTAATTAGATTGAGATAAAGAAAATAGAGATAAATATAATTTGATGTTGTGAACTATATTCTATGGGCACCTCAATTAGTAGCTCAATTTCAAATGAAAATGTAATGTTAAAAAAATTTAAGGACAATGATGCCATTGATGGCAGTAATAGATTCCAGAAAGATATATTTGACAAAGAACTATAATTTTGCACAAATTGCTAGCTGTAAGACTTCATTTTTCCAACTATTTTAAGTCTTCTCAACACTCAAATGGAGCTAAAAAAATTAACTTATGCAGCATGAATTTGAGAAATAAAAAATACACATACCTTGGTTAGAAAGTGGTCCTTCCATGCTATTGGACACTGAGGATAGAAACTTAAGGGATGGGAGAGCACCCAAAATCCTGAAGGCATCCTCGTCAAAATTATTATAACTTAGATCCAGATGTCTCATCTTGCTCAAATTAGACACTAGTTTAGAATCTGAGCATATGACCATGATCAAATGACATTAAAAGTCAACCCCAAAGAACCATAAGTGAAAATGACCAACTTATTGCTTTTATAGGTAATTAGGTACTTTTTAAAAAGACTTTCACTCTAATTCACAATTGTAGAGAATATATATATAGTGGTATGGAATGAGAGCGCACAACCCCCCCCTTTTTATTTCACCAAAAACAATAATTAGGTAAGCCACAAACCGCTAGCTATGTCATTCTAAGCTCAAACTAGTAATTCTGGTTCTTCGTCTAGAATAGATCATCTTCAATTACTATATTTGAATTTGACTTTAAGAGAGCTCACTGTAGCTTCCTAATCAAATTCAAAAGCAACAGAAACGGTATACTTGATGAGTGTCACTTAAAGAGGATCTATGTAAGAAAATCATCAGAGGATTTTCAGAAATTGCAGAATCAATCGCCGTGCCATACCACCGTTGTTTTTCATTGGCTGCTCAAATTTCACTCTCTAAGACTGGTTGAAACAAGAATAGGCCAGTTAGTGTATAAAACTTCAATTATCATTCAGGGAAAAAAAGCCATGCAAAGTGCTATGCTGTAATTCATGGACGTCCACTGTGGAGGATCCTACTTCCCTAATGTGTCACCCAAATAGAGAACCATACTGATCACAAAGATATGAAGTGCAACATCTTTGAATCTGTGAAAAGAAGGAAAAATTAAGTAGAAATGAAATTACACATTCATTTTTTTGGATAACTAAAATAAATATATATATTGAGAAATACTTTGTTTTTCATGCCCAATAAAAAGGGAAATCAATCTAACTCCTTTTACTTCATTTTATTTCCCTGTCCAAGGTTCCTTTCCTCTCACAAATCAAACATCCAAACATAGCCTAAAAGTTTGGAAGAAATATATGGTTTTCAAACTCAGATCAACTTTCACTGACCATCACTAGTCCTCAGGAAAAAAGGTCACAATTAACTAAAAATAATAATGAAGGCCAAGTTGCCCAAACACAAAGTACTTGCTTTAACGATGGGCCCCAAACAAACTCCATAAGAAAGTAAAACCCCAATCTTTTCATCGACCTCACTCCCACAAAATATATGGGGTAAAAGTTTAGTACACCCTTTATTCGGCATAAATTCCAAAACACAAAGAGCACTATTGGCACTAGAGCCGAAAGTAGACATACCCAAACCAACTCATGTAGATTTCATATCATCAATGCGAATGCCAAAGGTGGAAAGTGTAGCGTCAGTATACTGAAATTTTTTCATGAGAGTGGTAACACCATCACATAACATGGGCATAAAAAATGAAAATCAAGCGCACCACAAGGTATTAGTAAGCAACTCAAATCAGTACTTGTGATCTATTAACAGATCACGAACTCCTCTCATGCTGCCAATGGGCAACAATTGTGTGCACAATGGACTTGAAAAAATAATATCAATGATCAGATGGCAATGGAATACACTTCTTGAATACAAGATCTGATCTTTTTTTTTTTTAATTATTGAAAATTACAACTAGTTTAATAAGGAAAGCACAATTACAATACTCCACCATATCTATCAAGATCATATTCACCACCATAATAACGGAGTACCATTGTCATAATTCTATGACAAGCCTAAGGAGTAAGATCAGAACCATATGGTTGCAAACAAATGTTTTTTTTTCCCCAACTCCTTTTCCTAGAAGCACACGTAATGTCACCCACCATTATCAAATTACACCTAAGCACACACCAATCAATACCTTCAAAGAAGTTCAAAATTCTCCATTTCTAGGAAGCTAATTACAAAACTTCTATCCATGGTGACCTGCAGCAAGGAAAGCACAAAATAAACGATGTCAGACAGTTATTGAATTAAAACAACATAAATAAGGGAATCACACGATCACTTTAATATGGACTAATGTTTTCCAATGATCATCACAGTTCAAACCCTGGACAGAATCAGGTCAGAAATTGTTTCCCCCCAAAATTATTCCCAATAAACTATATTTCCCATTATCTATCTTTTTTCTTTTTTTAATTTTTATTTATATATATATATTTATGCCTGTGGAAGCAAGAATCTTCTAAACCAGGTAGGTACAACCTTGAAAGTTAATCCAATGAAATGACCATACTTTCAAAAAGATATTTTCTCCCAGATATCATAAAATTTGAGTTGAGGCAAATGTTGGCAATGCAATAACCACAAATGGTAGTTCTTGAAAATAAGTGCCCGATATGTGTGTCATAAAAAACAGTCCAAGTTCCAACATAGGAAACAAAACAAATAGTTTCAACCAGCATGCTTAAGTTATCTGGATGAGTACATGTTTAAATTGTTACAGGACTGCAAACCTTACTTGTGTGATCACTTATGTAAAGCATATTGCATATCCCATACATTTCTTAAAATGGTTACCAGATTTAGTTTGCAAATGGGGATTCAAAGTTCATTCATACACAAATCAATAGTTGATGAGTTACTGGATTGAATTGGGTAATTCAATCAATCACTGCCAAAAGCTTCATAACTCAAGCCTTCTGATATCGTGTCCACCCCCATTCATATAGTAAAATCATACCTTCCCAGCAGTAGATGTTGATGCTTGAAGCTGCAATTTCTCTCCTCTAAGCTCTCCTGTAATCTATACATCTCATCCTCCATCTTCTTAGCTTTGGCCTCTGCCTAGGGAAAAAAATAATAATAAAAAACCCAAAAATACACAAAATTAGAGAAGGTCCCACAAAGAACATCACTTTACAGAGAAGAACAAAAAGGTGAAATGAAATTATTTTATTTCCAAAGTACACACAGATGCAAACAAATATACATAGAAACATATAAACAAATATACAAATTCACATGCCTGTCTTGTTAGGGTTTGAAGAGCCAATGATTGCACCTGTGAAGCGAGACGGCTTCGGACCTCCTTGTGCTCCACCGCCAGTGACACCACGTTCCGCCGGAAGCTCTGCTTCTTCTCACTCAGATCCTTCAACAACGGATCGATATTTCTCGGTGCGCAGAACGCTGTCGTTCCTTGCAATCACCTCATTGTCCATGCGATTGAAGCTTCTCTCCATCGCGATCTTCCACTCCTCCGTACTCGAATCCCTCTTCTCAATCTCTTCCTTTACAAGTTCATGTAACTGATCTCTACATTTCATCGCCACCTACAAAGAAATCAAACACCAATTAAATTGATAGACTTTCTTGTTCGATTTCGGATCTGCAATTTGCGAGAGAGATCGAGTTTGAGTTCGATGAAGAAAAGCTAGAGCAAGAATAGATCTAACAAAATGCAAGAGAGATCAGATCGAGTTCGGATCTGCGATTTGTGAGAGAGAGAGAGAGAGAGAGAGAGATCGAGTTCGATGAAGAAGAGCCGTGTATGAGAGAGATTTTGTGTTATTTTGTAATTGGAATGGGGTTTAATGTCTATTAAGTTAAATACGGCGAGCATGACGCCTTGAAAAACGTGTTGACTATTCAGTATACCACAACGTTTTTTAAAACGTCTTGATTCAAGCGCCGTTACAGACCACTTTTCTTGTAGTGACTGTTGCTAAAACTTATAATTTAGTGACATGTTTTGTGATGATTTTCAATTTTTTGTTAAAAATTAACAATTAGTTATGTTTTTTAATAGTGTTTAATGAAAAATGCCAATAATTCCCATAGGACTTATTGGATAAGTCTACCTATTAAGACCTACACGTAAGTCCTTTTTAGTTTATAAGATAGAAATATGGATTAATTATAATTAACACCCTTACACTTTTACTGTGATCTCATTTTGATGCTTTCATTTTCAATTGAATGTCATCATTTTGTCCATCTACAGTTAATAAGGTCGATGGAAATTGTTATGTGAGCTAATGATAAAATGTAGGGATGATAAGTGTAATTAACCCTAGAAATAACTTTAAAAAATAAGGGTAAACTACATCTCAATAGTTGGATTTAATTCTCATTAAGTCTTATTAAAAACAAGTCATAGTAAAATTGTCGCTAAAAATAATTTTTTGTGACAATTTTTTGTATATATCACTAAAAATTGACAATTAGTGACTTCTTTTTTGTCACGATTTTTATAAATTTTCGCTAAAACTTATAATTGGTGACTTTTTGTGTAACGAATTTTTTAAACTGTTACTGAAAATTAAAAATTAGTAATTTTTTTGTGACAATTTTTTTAAACTGTCGCTAAAACTTATAATTAGTGACATTTTTGTGATAAATTTTCAAACCGTCACTGAAAATTAACAATTAATGATGTTTTTAATAGTGTTTAATAAAAAATATTATTAATTCTCACATAACCTATTAACTAATAATTTCACCTAATAAAATTTACACGCAAGTCCTAAAAAAACAAACTAAAAAATGATTATGAAGCTTATCAGAGTTGTTTTGCTTATTTTCAACTTTAAATTACATCAAACAAGTTCTAATAATTTTGGATACAAGGGACGGCTTGGGGTGAACATTCCAAAATACATTTAAAAAAAATATATATTCAATTTTCTAAGAATTAATATTGTAGATTTTTTTTTTTTTAGTTACAGAAAAATTCTCTTACTCTCCTCCAGGTCTAAGATAGCGCCGTTTACAGAAATTACTAAAATATCCTGTTGTCCATTCCAAATAAGAGAATATAATCTGAGAACTTATCCCGACTCCCAAAGAAAAGTTTCGTTTAAGTCGAGATTTGCATAGTGGGAAAGTATCGAACCTCACACCAAATATTGTGATAATAATAATTTGAGACTTAATCTCCTAACTAATTACACTACGCTTAGAAGATTAACCCAAAAAAATTCCAAACATGAGACCTTTAGGGTCTCCAAGCCGCGTGGTACTGCTTTGGGTATTGTAGGTTTGATTCTATATATATATATATATAAAAAAAATTTCATGTATATTTGATCATAAAATTAAAATATTCTCTTATCAGCCGCCTAGAATGTCTACACCAATCAAATTCAAATCATGACGTCGGAGGTATTTGATTTAAAAAAATACTATAATAATTATATTTTTATCTCATATTTAGGTGATATTTCGGACGTTCTAAATAAGTATATTTTTAAATTTTTATAATAAAAATATATAAAAAAATAGAGAAAGTGGATAGAAAAGTAGAGAGGAAATGCTAATAGATGTTGATTGATATAACCAAAATAAGTGTATGCATGCAAAAAAATACACTTTTTTAGTGCATGCCAAACAAGCACTTAATTTAGGCCGTGGCTTCCCTTTAGTTTAACTAGAGGGTGTTGTTGGGTTCGTAGGGGCCCATCACGAGTCTTGTTTCGATAATCCAAACCTTCAATGTATAGAATTCGTCAAATACTACATGTTTGTAAAAAATCACGTTGATCGGATATCAATAACTATGTAATCCAATCAGTTTTCTGTCAACCGTTTATTTTTTAGTCATCCATTTTTTTATTATAAAAAAACTGATTTGATCACGTAATTATCGATATCCGATTAATGTGATTTTTTACAGACATATAGTACTTGACGAGTGTTACATATTGAACGGTTCAGATTATCAAAACGAGACTCGTGGTGGGCCCCTACGGGCCCAATAGTACCCTCCAGTCCGATCACAGACTGGAGGGAAGCCCAACCCTTAATTTATTATGTAAATTATCAGTTTTGCATTAAGGGGTCGTTTGGTAATAGGTTTTTAGCGACATTTTAATTTTTTGGCTAAATTATGAGATTAAAAGAATTCATATGTTTGGGATGATTTTTTAATTTTTCACAAAATAATGTACAAAAAAATAGAATGAATGGAAATGAATCTTTCACTTTTTTATATTTGTTGGCTTTTTAACATCTTTTGTGACCTTTTAACTTTTATACTACAATAGTTAGTTCCCAAACTGCCCCTTAAGTTTCCATCGCTTATGTGTATTTTAAATACTCTGAGGACAACTTACTAAGAAGGTTGTTGCAGGTAATTATAAAATGAGAGCAAATAGTTTGACTTTCTGGGCCTAATGTCGTTGTTTCAGATTCCTCTACTATCTCCAAAAGCTTTGCTGAAAGTGAAATTTACAAGTCAACTCCATGAATCTCCCAAGTTAACACTTTGATGGCAGGGGCTGAGTTTTGTGGTTTGAAGGTAAAACAAGACACTGAGAAAGAGAAGTTGGAGGGAGCCATTTTCCATATCCTTATGTGGTTCTGCAAGAATAAGCTAAAAAAAAAGGAAAGTCTGTGTTTGTTGGGTTGTGACTCCATTACAACTCACTTCACATATATATAGATGAATATTCTCTAATGGAAACAAGGCCTAGTTTTGTGGAAATTATCAGCTCGTTTGGTTCCAATTTTCAGAAAATTTTATTTTTTTATTTTTCATATTTTAATGTTTTCAATGAATTTTTTAACATTTTAAGCAATTTTTTAAAAATTTTTAGACACACCTAATAAAAACACACTTAAAAAGTATAATATTTGTAAAAAAAAAAACTTTAAAAAATACACTAAAAAATACCAAAAAATACAAAAATACTAAAATTTAGTACATTTTTATATTTTTGTGTATTTATTAGTTTTTAAAAATATTTTTTTCACAAATATTTTACTATTTAGATATATCTAAGTAAAGTACATTTAAAAAAGTAAAAAAATTATTTAAAATTTTAAAAATATTCACTAAAAATAAAAAAAAACATAAAAAATAAAAAAACTCAATTTTTAAAAAATTGAATTCAGAAAATTAAACCAAACATACTTGTAACTTTTTAATGAGGTTGGCCTGGATGTTGATGTGGAAACATGGTGACCAAGTACGTAATGGGTTGGGATGTTGGTCCATTTTATGACGAGAAAAACTTAAGGATGAGTAATAAAACGATGATGGCATTTGTGTAACATAATTTGTTTATTAAAAACAAATAATGTATAGAGAGGTGCTCAATATATAAATATGATTACTTTATTTTATTGATCGACAAATACTAGTTGTTAGATTAGCATTTATAGAAAAAAATCTCTCAACGCTTAGCAATACACCTAAGTGCTTCTACTCCTTTAATTCATTCAACCTCCAAGCATTGTTGTTTACAATCTTTAAAAAGTAAGAGTCCATTTTCTTTGTTGATGGTTGATTGGCTGTAGGGGTGTAAATCTGGCCCGGTCCGGCTCATGTTGGGCCTCACGAGCTCCCGCCAAAATTCGAGCTGACTCGGGCTAAAAAATAAGGCCTAGAGGTATTCGGGTTGATGGGCCGGGTCTGACCAATTTTTTCTTTTTTTAAATTTTTTTTTTAATCAAAATTTTATTATTTTTCACTAAAAAAGACACTGGCCTTGGGCAGGCCGGGCCTTGAGTGGGCTGATAGGCTGGGCCATAGGCTGGGCCAGACTTCAAAATGATAGCCCAGGCCCTAGCCTAGGGGCTCAGGCTAGGCTCGAGCCCAAGCGCCAAAAGGGCCTAAACGGGCTGGGCCCATTCCAGGCCGTGGGGGGGCTTAAGGTCGCCCACGGGCCGTGGGCTATTTTTATGCTCCTAATTGGTTGTGACCATGGAGGCGGCTGGCTCTTCTGCTCTGCGCAGTTGAACAACACTCTCAGGCCCGTTTGTTTTAGGAGATAGAAAAAGGATTGGGATTGAGATTGAAATGGGACCCACTAATATTGTATTTATATTAAGAGATGGATCCGGATTAGGATGGGCCTTGGGAAGGAAATTAAGATGGAGGCTTGGGACTTGGTATTAGAAAATAGTCCGCCAAACTATATTTTTTTTTAAATTCTTTTTCAATTTTAAACATGCTAGGCATTTTTTTTAACATTAATGTTTAATTTTTTGTTAAGTAAAAATCATAGTTTTATTTGTTTTATTTTTTTTTAATTTTAATTTAATTTAATTTTTTATTTTTTGTATGTTAGGAATTTTTTTTGAACATTAATATTTAATGTTTCTTGTATTTTTTAATTTATTTTATTATTTTATATAAAAATAATTTGACAACCCCTACACCAACAACTATCATCAAAATAAACACAATTTTACGTAATCCTCTCACTAACAATCCCCTTGCTATGAATCTTTTCCATTCTACCTCTGAAAACAAACGGACCCTCATAGCATTGACTCTCTCTAGAACCCTAGTTCCATATCATTTCAAAAGACTGTTATTACTGCTTTATTTCATGATGGGTGATATTATGATAAACACTCTCAAAAGGTATATCATATGTAAATTATATAATTTGTAAGTTTTGAAAAATCTAAAAATCCCGGAGATATTGATTTGTGATTATATATTGTGTGTGTTGTTTCCTGACCACACTGTTAAACAGGTACTCAGCTGAAGAACACTGGCAGAATAGAAACCACCTGTCACAGAAAGAAAAAGACTCTGGCGGTGGTTCGTCCACCCGGGGGCATTCCGACGATCAAGTCAGTTATCTCTCAAAGATAGCAAAAATACTTAACTCATTATTCAGAATACAAAAAGCGTACCTTAGACCCATGAGGGTGCCTTATTTTTATAACCAACACCGACTTGATCCCTGTAGAAGCCTAACTTCA